TTCAAATTCGAAAAAGTTGTACGAATTTAATAGATCTTCACATATGAATATGTAAAAACAAAGAGATTGACGCATTTTAGAAAGTGATCATACAACCCATTATTTAAAGTTAATAAAAATGGAACACTTCTTATTCTATTAAATATTACATCCCATAAGAGAATCCCAAATATTTCTAGCTAGACATTTTTTAAAGAAAATTCTATATAAAGTCTTAAAAGTATATATAAAAATTATAAATTTATATGTCGGTTTTGTTGAGGTTTTTTTACTCAATACCAAACCAAATCAAATCTAATCGGGTTTCTTAATCGATTTGGTTTGACTTTTCGGTTAGTGCAATTTTTCGGTTCGGTCTGTACACTCCGGCTTACCAGAGAGTTTATCTTTCTTTTTTCTTTTCCGCAAGACTTCCCACAAAATTGTATCCCATCACGAAAATGCTTGCCAAACTGAATGGAAACATTGAAAAAAATTTTCAAGCAATTTGTTGAAGCTACTTCTCAGTCTTGTCACTCTCTTGGGATATAAAAAATTCTTCACATTATATTGGCCAGCTTTATTGACATTTCTTTTCCTATTCATAGTTATTAAGTTGTCTTCTTTAGTGCAATCAAGTTGTAAAGCAATTAACCTTGCATGCACATTTCAATATAATATTATACACTACGTTTAGTATTAACTTTTGATCATAAGCCAAGAATATTCGCACTGTAAATATTTCAAATGTCATTTTCGTGGGTAACGTGTATTGTAATATTTGTAGAAACAAGATCTCAAAAATCACAAAGCATAAATAATTAAATAGTGAGTAAAGTAAAGAAAGTAGAAGTCGATTTTGCCACTTTCTTAATTCTTCAATCATCACCCTGAAGTTGATTGATGCCAAAACATATTACATTGGCTGCTGCAAGAAATGTTTTTATGTGTACCTCATCAAATGGTTCCGTCTTTAGTTGCAAAAAACTTGGTGCTCACTATGCATTTTTTCAAAAAATCTGCAAGAAGCCCAAAATGAAGTGTGAGAGAAGAACAGAAATTTTAATTAAGTCGTGGACCATTAACTTTAACTTTGGAATATGGTTGGTGTCTCTGGTTCCTTTATTGCCATGTGCAAAACTGTCATTGCTTTTGCAAACCTTTTCAATATTCACTAATCAGTGGAGCGGATGGTAGTCAAGAGAATTTAAACTGCAGAAGGCGAATCTATTAGCGATCGATGTTCTTTGATTTCTTCCATAATTGGTTTAAAGTTTCCTACAAATGTTCTTATCTATATTCAGGATCATAGTTGACTATTGTAGATGTTTTTAATTGAAGCATGACGCATTAGAAGAGCAAGAATTTGCAGGACTTGAGTTGGTTATCAATAATTGTGCAGGACTTGAGTTAATTAGACACAAACATGTAAATGGATATAGGAATTCAAGATGAACCAAATACTGCTACATGAATTCCCTATGCGAACAACTTTAAAGTTTTCTATCCTAAACCTACCTTTTCTTCGTAGACCGTTACTTTTGTTCAACAAACCGTTGGATCATAATTGATGTAGAATGCTATTTAGCACTGGTTTTCTTCACTGCCTAATTGTCAAGAGTTTCAATTAATGCTTCCAAGCATATATGCACTCGGCAAAATAAGAAGTTGCTACCGTTTCGTTATTCGTAGCGTCTTTTCGTTTCGGGCCGTTGCGAAGCATTGGGGTCTTTTTTATTTTTTGCTTAAGTTAGTGTATTTTGATTTTAGAAGGTCATTAAGGTAATTTAACTTTTAAGTTAAAGGGCTTGATAATATTATGGATATAAACTTTTTTTAACATTGCATTTAAAAGGGGTTATGCATAAAATAGTTGTGGCTTGTGACCCTTCATGAAGGGGTAGGTAGGTTATTTGTTGTTAGTTATTTTTAAATTTTGTATTAATAGAGTATTTAAGTTAACTAGAAAGATATTTTAGTAATTTAACTTTTAGCTTAAGAGCTTCCCACTTTTAATATAACTAGTCTGAGTGTACGTGTGATGCACGTGTGTTTTGCGTCTATTATTGAAAAGTCCTACATAATATAGAAAATGAATGAATTATGTGAAATAACAATTGATGTTGAGATACATGCAATAATATTTTGAATAAAAAATAAATACTTTACGTTAAGACAAGATGAATTCAAAGTAATTGAATGTTTTCTAAATCTTCACGTACGAAATGAGTTAGTTATTTAGTAGTAATTATAACTATACATATTTTATTGTATAAAATAATGATATGTTATGTTGTTGCTTCTGACCTAATTTATTATATTTAAGTTTTAATTTTCCTTTGAAGCATGGGCAAATATTTGCCACAATTATCTTGTTACTTTTTTAAAAGAAAAATATAAATCTATTCTTTATTTGGCTATTCTTTTTTTGGAGGAAAAAGTTTGTGTATTATTTTTTTAGTGAATTGCTTATATATAGGTCAGGTGACCAAATCATATTATTGTATCTCTTTTCATATATTTCTCTTTTCTTATATGATTTATTGTTATTTAAAGTTTGCTTTGTGAGCTTCCATATAATACATTGTTATTTCAATTTTAACAAATTAAAGTTAATGAATTTCTTAATGACCACAAGGTTTGGACTCCTCAATAACTTTGGTATTCATTCTAAACTAAACCTAGACAAATTATAAAATAAATTATAAATTAAATAAGAAAAACCTAAACAAATTCTGTAAAACAAATCAAAAATAAACATACACGTATAAACAAATCAAAAATACAAAGAAAACTAATTGTAATGACAATTTAATCTTATTTTCCCACTGACTTTAGATTTGGTCTAAACCAAATATAAATAAATTATTTTAAAAAATCAATATAGAAACACATTGACTGAACAATCCTCACCTAGACTTTTACAAAGAAACATGCAAGTAACAAGTTTTTAATTTTTTTTTTCTAATTTTTTATCAATTCTATCTGCCATCCCAAAAGAGAGTAAACTTATGGCATTGAGATTCTAATTTCACCTTTCCAAATGAGAAGAAAATTACTCTTGAAACTAATGTCAAGTTAAAATCAGAACATAAGTAGAATAAGTTCACTCCTTTTAGGTAGGGCTGCTTATCGGGCGGATTGGACGGTTAATTACTCTTAACGGTTTGACTTAACGGTTATCGGCTTTTAAATGTATTAATCCGCTAGCCACCCGATAAGATATCGGGTGAATTGGTATCGGTTTAGCTCTTATCGGGCGGTTATTGGGCGGTTTATCGGCCTAATTCAATTTATATTGTGTGTATTAATTATTTGTTGACCGCCTAGCATACAAATTCAGAATAGAAAATTATACATTGAGTCTAGACATACATGTCTGTTAACGCCTACATAAGAATGATGTAGTGTGTCATGTGTTGTAGAGTGAAAAAAGATGTGGCACAACACTGTTGTTCTTCTATTAAACATAGACAACATGCATTAGTTTTAAAAAACAAAAGCAGAGGTAAACCATAGACATCAACTTAAACAATCTTGTTGTAGGGTGGGAGAATAAACTAAGCTAAGCCAAGCCTGGGATCTTTTGATGCATAGTACGTAAGGGTTCTGATTATTTAGGAATTAGGCGTTAGAACTTAGAGATAGAGTACTGGAAGAAGTGGAAAGGTTTTTGATCTTTAATATATATTCTTAACGGGTTAACGGATTATCCGTTAAGAAAATTGAATAATCCGCCCCCAAACCGATAAGCCGTTAATAAAAAAATTTCAATCTGTTCCCCGTCCGTTAAACCGTTAACCCGATACCAATAAGCCATTAAGCTTCGGTTCCGGTTCAGTTTTCGGTTTCGGTTTCGGTTTGGTTTTGAACACCCCTACTTTTAGGAATACAAAAAGACAAACGAAAATTTAAAAATTTACCAACATACAAACTGATTTTGATGGTCATATCTTTTGCTACCAAAATCAAATTTTTATGGAACTTGATCGGGCATTCTTTCATAGCAAAAACCATCTTTTTGTGACCTTAAAAAAATATGTACAAAATAACGGACAAATATTGGCAGTAATCTATAGAATAACATATAGCTTTCCATTTCCATGAATTAAGTAATATGATAAAACTAAAGAAGAACAACAGTAATTTAATGAAAATAATGGATGCNGTTGCAATAAATTAGAATTGTTCAAGTTTCCATGTTTACCTAATTAACGTTAGGTAAGTTTTTTTAGTTTTCTATTTCTCTTTTTGTTAGAATAAGAAAATATTTTAATTGATTTTAAAGGTCTAATTTAAATAAGAAAAAATTTAATAAACTAAATTTTATTTGATTTTAATGTCCTCAATATTTGGAGAAGCGCTAAATGACAAGATTATCCTATGTAAAATCATGTTTTAAAGGGTAAAAAAGACGAACAACATTTCGTTAAGGGCTTTCGAGATTTTAATATAGTATAGATAGATATAGATTATAGATATAGATATGATTGAGTAATTATTTGTTATATTTTGACTAAAAAATGCTGAATGTAACTCATCCAAGATATTTGAGGAAGATTACTGTCTCATTTTTGTAAAGAGAAAGTGGTCCTGCCTCTCTTCCCGGTCAATGCCATGACTTTTCTAGAAAAGTTAATATCTATTTATTTTTGGTCCATTTAAAATAAAATGACACATTTTTAAATTTGGAAACAATTTAGCTTAAACTTATAATTTTACCTTTAATGAGAAGCTTTTATAACCGCACAAATACTCTAGGTTCTTTTTTGATTTGTTTAGAACCACAAATTTTAAAAGTTTTTATTTTTTCTTAAATTCCGTTTTATATAAATTGAAACGGAATGAGTATTATTTTAGATGTTTATTAAAAAATAGAACAATCACGAAAATCTAAGAGAGAACCCCAAAAGTGGTGGG